ATCGTACAGTCCTTAAACACAAGGAAGTGACTTCAAAGATTGAGAGATTGATTCAGCTTTACTGGAACAAAGCTCAAAGTGAAAATCTTTATAGCACTAACTGGGAGCTGTTAAAATATGAAATTGCTAAATTCCTTAGGAAATACACTAGCGATCTAGCTAAAAACAGAAGAGCAGAGGAAAACAACACTGTACTTAAAATTGCATCTTTAACTTCTAAGCCTTTAGATATACTTACTGAGTCAGAGAAGATGGAGCTTACAAGCCAGCAGCATAGGTTGGATGAGATTTATAAACGAAAAGCAGAAGGTGCTTTTGTTAGATCTCTCCGCAAGTGGCTTGAAGAGGATGAGCAGAATTCTGCTTATTTTTTTAGATTAGAAAAGCAGCAATCTAAAAACAGCTCCATTCAGCAATTAAAAATTGATGGATCTGTTACTTACGATCCAAAGAAAATTGCCAAGTATTGTGCTGAATTTTACAATGATCTTTACACCTCAAGATTTTGTCTTTCAGATGCGTCCAGCGTTGTTGATTCTGTCCCTGATATCAAGCAGATTTCTAAAGGAGAAAGCGACTTTTGCGACACCTCTCTTTCACTAAATGAAATTTCTGCTGCCATTAATCAACTTAAAATTAATAAATCACCCAGAACCGACGGCTTCACTGCCGAATTTTATACGCATTTTTCTCTGAGCTTAGTCCCATTTTTAAAACAAGTTTTTGCTGAGAGCGTTGGCAGAGGTTCCTTGCCCCCTACTTTAAGTCAGGGTCTAATTGCACTTATCCGTAAGCCCAAAAAAGATTCTCTTTTGTCAGACAACTGGCGACCTATCTCGTTGTTAAATAATGATTATAAAATCTTTGCTCTAACACTTGCTAAAAGACTGAAATCGGTTTTGAACTCTGTTATTGACGAGAGTCAGTCTGGATTTATGAAAAACAGACATATTTCAAATAATATTAGACTGATCTTCGATATATTAGACTATTCTGAGCTAGTTCATGAAGACAGCTTTATTCTTTTCTTGGACTTTCATAAAGCCTTTGATTGTTTAGAGCATGATTTTATAATGGAAACACTAAAAAAGTTTGGTTTTGGTCAGTTCTTTTGCAGATCTGTCCA